TAGTATTCACATGTGCATCTGTTTCGTATGTAATATTAATGTCAATACGAAGTCTAATACATGTTTATACCGATTGATGTTGAATTTGGAAGATACGACGCGCCGACGCGTCTGATCGCGTTTGTCACATCACGCGGTAAAGCGCTGAGTAGTCACCCTCCTGTTTCTTGCCACAACACCATCCGCCAAAATGCCGCCATTTGGGTCCCTTGTACCATTGAAGAGGAAAATCGAAGATAGTGACTTGTCCAGTCGGAAGAGGACCTCGTTTGGACAACAAGGAACAGGCACAGGACCACAACACTGGATGATCCAATGGTAGTCCAAGCCATTCGACGCGCCAGCGAATAAAACTGACAATTTCATCAGGAGAAATCCTCAATCCAGAAAGCACAAGACTTGGGAAGGGGATGGGGTTCTAGTAACGGACGCAACAGGGAAGGGTACCGTGTTTGACTCGGAAAACAAAGTGTAGGCACTCAGATTGAGGCATCTTCGCTGCGCTCACTTCTAATGTCAGGATTGGAGGAGGAAAGTTAGATTTCCCGTTACACGAGGGAAAGAACATGAACATCGGTGGAAAGGAAATTGAGCTCGATTGCCAAATATCTAGGAACGAGTACATGTCGGGTACATGCTTCGGACGAGCCCCGTCGACCACAGCTCAGCCTGCAGTTGTCTCGACATCTCGACAACCGAAGTTTGTTCCTCCAAAGATGTCCGGTCCTGCCGCAGCATCCTCAACCGTAGTAACATCCAAGCCAACGCTGCTGAAAACTGGGAGCACGTCAAATATACCTCAACTAGACAAGAGAGTGGTACAACCCCCTTCGAAACACCACTGGACGGCCAACTGGTAATTGCACTCGCCATTGTCTACCATACCCTGCTAACTGCCACCGTTACTAGGAGAAAGCAACAAACCCGAAAGCATAAAACCTGGGATGGTGATGGATATGTTTCATGGATTAACGGCCAGCTAAGGATGGCAACAGAAGATGGTAAATTGTTAGTATATGCCCTCTCAGCACAAGTGAAACGTCCTTAAACATGCGCAGAATGGGAACTACAAACTGGAAGGAAGGCGAACTTTATTCGGGACTACGCATTTTCATTGGCGGCAAGGAGATAGAACTTGACGCAAGCGTTCCAGCCTCCCAGGTCCCTTCATTGAAGGGAAGCAAAGACTCCTTATCTCAGCCTGAAGAACTGGACCCTCCTTCCGAACCTTCAAAGCCGGTGGCATCGATAGCTGCGACCTCATTCTATTCTGTAGTGAAGGCAAAACCCAAGCCCAAGGGCCCATTGTACGTCCGTTCTCCGGAAACACTCACTAACGACCGGCTGACCAGTCAAGGCATGATCCGGATGCTCCTGGCGCAGTGGTGATGAAACCACCAACTCCAGGTCATATACAACGCTATAACAAAAAGTGAGATGCGCAAGCCTTTTGGAACCGTCAACATCACTTACTTCAACTCCTGCAGTAACTTCCCAGTTGTACCTGTTGTGGTCGACCCTATCTTGGCGAAAAGGATGCGGGGACACCAAGTCGACGGTATTGGTGTCAGCATCTTCGATGATTCGTATTTCTAACCAGAAAGGGACACAGGGGTGTCGTTTATGTACGAGTGTGTCATGGGTCTTCGCAGACACGAAGGTAATGGATGCATTCTAGCGGACGAAATGTGAGTGATGCATCTTGACTGGACGCACTTCGACTCACGTTCTCCCAGGGGACTCGGGAAAACGATGCAGGTTCGTAGACTTTTGGCACACTGCTTCGCATGTTGACCCATTCTTTAGACAATAGCCCTCATCTGGACAATGCTAAGTACGTCGCTTGGCCGAGACCCAGTAACCTCATCTCTAATAGATATGTCAGGACAAAATCCATACTCTGGAGCCGGTCCTATTGCAAAGAAAGTCCTTATTGTTTGCCCGGTCTCCTTGATAACTGTAAGTGACATGGCAGTCGACTCGCCTTGAAGTCTAACGCACACAATCAGAACTGGAAATCGGAATTCCATAAATGGCTCGGGAAAGACCGACTTGGGATCACCGTCGTGAACACAGAAAAGGTTAATATCGACCAATTCTTCTATAAGTTAGTCGCTATCCAGTTTCACTAGACTAAGTATCGTTGATCATATTTCTTGCAGCAAAACCCAGCAGGTTCTCATCATCGGGTATGAGCGATTGCGGACAGTGATGTATGGGCGTTTTACGCATTGTAGATTCAAAACTTACCTTACTTTAGCGATAAAGTCTCGACCTCAGTGTGGGTAACTTGGAACTGTCTCAGGATCCTTTATTGATGATTTGAACAGTCCGCCCATTGATCTTATTATATGTGACGAGGGACACCGACTGAAGTCTGCGAATAACAAGACGACGCAGATGTTCCAAGGCTTCCGAACGCGCAGAAGGATAATTTTATCTGGGACGCCGATCCAGAACGATCTCAGCGAGTTTCATTCAATGGTAAGAACGAGGTTAAGCTACAGTAAACTTTTGACTGACCGTTTCCAGGCTGAATTCTGCAACCCCGGCCTTCTAGGTGCGACAACTCTGACATTTGGGTGTCCTACCTAACGTAGAATTCTAGACGACTATCAAAATTTCCGCAAAGTCTTTGAAATCCCGATTCTGAAGAGTCGTGCACCCGAAGCTACTCCCAAGGAAATTGAATTAGGGGAAGCCCGCACAGAACAAGTAAGGACACTGTCCAAGAGCCATGTATGTGCGCTAAAGATGCTTTTCCGAAGCTACTTCAAGTTGCAAATAGCTTTGTGATCAGACGGGAAGCATCACTCTTGAAGAAGCATCTTCCTCCAAAACGTAGGTGTTGCATCGTCTTTCTTATTAAAAACTAAACATTTGGGGTAGATGAATATGTTCTCTTTGTTACTCCCACAAAACTACAGCTTTCGATGTTCTCGTCCATTTTGCGCCCCGAACAAATCGATAATCTCACCCAAGGATCGACAGCGGAATCGCTTGCCCTCATAAACACGTTAACCAAGATCAGCAATAGTCCTATTCTGCTTAAAGCAACGGCAGATAGGATGAAAGCAACGTCTGGTGATCGGGGGGCGAGTATGGAACGGTCAGGCATTAGAGACGCCTTATCAATGCTACCAAAATCGAGTGAGATCTTTGACATGACCTTGAGTGGTAAGCCTTTGGTAGTTATTTGCTACAGACCCAACGCATTAATCGCAACTCAGGGAAGCTCACAGTCCTAGAAAAGATGCTCAAGGACATACGCCATGTTTGTGTTGCGCTTTTAGTGCTCAAAACGCTATTCACATTCCTAACCTAACGTTGCAGAATACCGATGAAAAATGTGTTCTCGTCTCTCATTATACCTCAACGCTGAATATCTTGGAAGCGTTTTGTCAAAAGAAGGGATACTCGTTTTATCGCCTTGATGGGTCTGCGTTTTGTCTTTGCATTTCTGTTGCGGTCAATTGACGGCAATTTTAGGCAAACGCCTCAACAGAAGAGACAGGAATACGTAAATGCGTTCAACAAGTCCACCCAAAGAGGAGGCTGTAAGTCTTAATCTGTTCAGCTCCAATCATCTATTTACCGTCGCAACAAGTCATCTTCTTGCTGAGTTCCAAAGCCGGTAGGTGATCTTTCCAGTCAGAGAATTCTTTTACTCAAAGATGTGAAGGCGGTGTTGGAATTAATCTAATTGGTTTGGCATTTTGCGTAATGAGGCATCCGTCAAAATTGACACTTTTAACACAGGAGGATCGAGGTTATTCCTCATTGATTCTGATTGGAATCCCAGGTATGAGGACAGTGCTCAACAGTGTGCTCGATAACTAAATACTTTCCCTCAGCCACGACCTCCAAGCGATGGCTCGATGCCACAGGTAACGGCCTTCTCAACACTCTCTCTACCTGGTTTTCCTCATGTGAAATACAGAGATGGTCAAAAACGACATGTCTTCATTTATCGTCTTGTAACTGCGGGAACGATAGACGGTAAGGATTTGGTTCCATTGAACCACCGTCACTCTGGTACTAATTCTGAGCTACAGAGAAAATCTTCCAGCGACAAATCACGAAACTTGGGTTGAGCGCATGTACGTTTCTTCATACCTACTGTTTTGTCTTGTGTGAAGTAACACATTTTATGACCAGCTCTGATTGGATCTGTAAGTCCTGGCAAGACATGCAGTAAGACTCACGTTTTAATGGGGTTCTTAAGGATGGCAACGCTTCAAAGAGTGATTCATTTTCTAAGAAAGATGTAAGCGGATTCCCTTTATTGCTGCCGCCTGTACTAAAATTCTTTCAGCTTAGAGATATCTTCCGAATCAACCCTAACACAAGCTGCAATACGCATGATCTACTCGATTGTACTTGTAACAGCAGCACCGGGCGCAGTACTGTTGTGGCCCCAGTACCTCGACTGGAAGACAGTAAACAGAGGACAGCAGAATTGAAAGGCTTCCAATCCGCATCCTCTGTTTTACCTGAAGATCTTGACTCCGATGTACGTTCATCAAGCCCCACTCCGAAGCCAGGCACTCACAAAGATCGTAGTACATGGAGAAGAAGAAAGCCGGGCTGGCATCGCTGAGCGAATGGAAGCATATCGATTGCCTACATGCAACAGCAGCTGATCTGGTGTTCGACGATGTTATACAAGGCGTTCTTCCCGAGGCCAGCTCGAAATACACCTCCTATGCAAATACAGAGGGTGAATCCAGAGCGGAGAGGCTATTGCGTGCAACAGACATCAGCAACATCCAGGAGATGGACAAGACGTTGACAGTTGCTGACGTTCCAGGAGGCACAATCTCTTTCATATTTGAAAAAAGTACTGAAGATGACGTTCCAAATGATGAAGCAGAGGACGAGGGTGTTGTAGAATAATATAGATTTTAATAATTGGGAATAGGCTGTTTGCTTTATTTTATTTTTTTATGTTGAAGGAGGGGTGTGCACGCCAAGTCGTTCGACGCTGAACCGTTCTACAAGTCACTTTGCCGGAGTGGTTAACGGGATCGCCTGCTATTGACCTTCGGGTCAGGCAAAGCGGTTGGTCTTTGACCGCGAGTGTTCGAATCGCTCAGGTGACGCTTTTTTATGTGATGTTTCAAATGTTTTGATTGGACACCTGTGACTCTTCTCCATCACCAGTGTGCCACAGCTTTTGCCTTTCACCATGAGCAACAAGTATGCGGATCTACCGGATATCGTACGTTACAAGCAAGCATTCCTTGAATTCCTTTTCTCATGACTCTTTGTTAGGACACCGCCCCTGACGTCTACGAGACTGAGGACACATTTCCCACTTCTCAGTCTGCGGTGAGATTCAACAACCTTGTTCCATTCTCCTAGGATAAACTCACAACTATTAGCAAGCAGATGCATCGGACAACGAGTCAGGCCATCCCTCTCGCGTAGCAAAGGGACGCTCCGAAGGAATAGACAAAGAAGGATTGGATACCAGCAACCTGATAACCCCAGACGACGCCTCGAAGAAGTTCAGAAATGCAGAGAAAAGAAGAGGTACTGAACAGCTCCCTTGTACCACTTGGTCAGAATCTGATACTCGAACAGATCGCAAGAGGGCGATTTATGCCTACCCCGAATCACCAACAGGTTCTCCATCTGGGCTAGGCAATTCTGCTGATGCAGGCAAATCTCTCCCGCTCTCTCATCGCCTGAAAGCACTCCAAGCGGAACTCTTTTCTTTGGAACAAGAGCTTTCTGATCCAACGAACCCGTTGATACAAAAGGAGCGAGAGGAAAGCAACATCGATCCCGGAGAGTTGATCAGGGGCTTGGTTGATGTTCGGGGACGTCTTAACAAGATCCTGAAAGAGAAAGAGGGAAGGGCGCGTTTGGTGGATACTATCCTTCACGAAGACCTATCATCGACTGTGAAGGACCCTATTCCTGCAACGGATGACAATACGAAGGCGGCCTCTGCCAAGTCCAAGGAACAAGATATCGTGGATGTCGACCGACGCGTTGGAGAATTGGAGAAACTGTTGGGCTCTTCAAATACCGGTCTGGATGAGGTATGTCTAGCGATCCTTTCAGGTCGCTTCAGTCTGATGGCATAATGATACAGGCATCTCCCCTTCCTCCGCCGTTGCTACCCTTGACGCTCAAACTCAACAGTCAGCTCGCGTTGTTGACACAGCCAAGACATATAGATTCTATTTCTCGAAGGTTGAAGATATTACTATCTGATTTGGAACGAGCATCGGCTGCCCAACATCACAGAAAGCATTCTTCCCAAGGAAATATCAATGGGCACACACAAGAACAGCTTTTGACGACCGTCAACAGGATAGCCCCGTCGCTTCCCCAGATACCACACATCTTGGCTCGTCTGAGGACGTTATCAACACTTCACGCATCAGCAAGTGAATTCCAGGATACGTTGACTGATCTGGAACAGGAACAGAACAAGGTCCATGGCGCACTCGAAGAGCTTCAGGCAGCGGTGGATACGGTCGAGAGGAGCTTGGAGGCCAACCGGACAGTTGTTAAAGGCAACGTAACGGGCCTGGACGCGCGTATCGACGGCCTTCTCAAGAGACTGGAGGACCTGCGGCAGGAGGAATTAGTTCGAGATTCAAGAGTACCGAATGAGCCTGTACAGCAGTGAACAATCTATCTCTTTTATTCTGAAAGCCCTGATGGTGGAACAGAAGGTATTTGGGTACAAAGGTCAAGATATTATTACCTCATAACCCTGAAAGCTTGTATTCTGAAAGAAACCTGACGGAGATGATGAGCGCTGTTGCTAGGAACCGGGACCAAGTCTTTATAATTCTTTGGTTGAATACAAGCGCCAACTGATGGCTCCTTTTTTGGAAGTGAAAGGGAACTACCTTTTGAGGTTTTGGGGGAACAAGATATAGGCCTCGTATATAAAGGACGATATACACAAGGGGATCGCCACTCTCCTCGTTGACGAGGGTCCCGATTTACGACCGACGACGAAGTATCTCAGGAAGATATGGCCAATCTTAATCAAGCATACGCTGCAGTCTCATTCATCACACTCATTCTAGTATTAATCCCACTCCCTTGGCATCTTGAAGGTGCGCTGATGTATTCGTTTGGCTGCTAACGCGTCATTAACGTTGCTTCTTAGCATGGAACACTGGCACTGTCCTGTACATATTTTGGACCGCAATATCCCTGTTGAATTACTTTATCAACGCGGTGGTCTGGAACAACAATACGGAAAATTGGGCACCAGCCTGGTGCGATATCTGTACGTGTTGTGTTTTTGAAATGCTTCAGCTGGGTGAACTGCTTCCCACTAGCCACCAAATTTATGGTGGGAGTCGCTCTCGCCATCCCCTGTTGCTCACTATGCATCAACCGTCGCATGTACCACATTGCGTCTATTCGCACTGTTAGAAAGTCGAGGCAAGAGGTGAGTTGCTAGGCGGTTTCTCAACACAAGTCGTACTGACCAAGCCAAAGAAAATCCGCAGCATTATCGCTGATTGCTGCATTGGTCTCCTGGCTCCAGCCATCTTTATGGCACTTCGTACGTTGGTATCCACCGCATATATTTTCGTTGCTGACATGCTCCAAAAGACCATGTCGTGCAGGGTCATCGCTTCGATATCCTTGAAGACCTTGGCTGTGTTCCTTCGACCTATAATGTTACTGTCGCCCACGCACTCATCACCGCGCCGTTGCTGGGAGTTCCCTTGGTCACAATCATCTATGCGGTTCTCAGCATTGTTGCATTCAAGAAACGGGACGCCGAGTTCAAGGAAGTGCTGGCTTCAAGCTCGGGCTCGCAAAAAAACATGAGCCGGTATTTCCGGTTGATTGCTCTCGCCAGCGTATCTGTCGTCGTTGGCTTTCCATTGACTTTGGCTGCAACGCTTGTCAACGTCACCAAATCCCCAGTTCAACCCTGGATATCATGGGAAGAGACGCATTACGACTTTTGGCGTGTGGCGCAGGCTCCAGCTACTGTGTGGAAGTCCAGCCCGAACTGGGGACTCGTGGAATCCAATCGCTGGTATGTTGTTATCAGCGGTTTGACGTTTTTTGCTTTCTTTGGATTTGCGGATGAGGCGATCAGCAACTATACCCTGTGGGCGAAGAGGGCACTGGAGCTGATCGGTGTCAAGTGGAGGCCCGGCTGCGGCAATGTGTTGACTGTTAACACGTTTGGAAATTCTCCGTATGTGCCAGTTCTCGTTGTCTCGATTGTCGCTAATTTCCCAATGGTTATAGACTACACTTTAATACAGGTACCCTACCCATTTATGTGCAGAAAGAGGTGATCAAAAGACGGGATTCGATAAGTTCGTTTGCTACTTTCACCTCTGTCGGGTCCTTTGTGGAAAAGGCTCCAACTCGTACCGCACCGACGCCTCTGAAGCAGGCGCAACCGCCGTCTCCGACCATAACCGTTTCGGACTATGATTCGCCTGATAGTCAACCTCCCATCTCGTCCTTTCTCGACCTCTCGGTGACACCCACCCCAGAGAGCCGTCTTCAAAGTCCAGAGTCTGCTGTTTTCCCTATAGTGTAGAAATCTCTAATTTGACACACACACCACCTTGCTGTATTTTTAGTCTTTCTCTTTCGTTGTAGCATACATACGAATATTATAATTTCCTATATAGTCTCTACGCTGGGGGCAAGAACGATGTCCATAAAATAATAGATATCAAGAACCAACACACGCTCCAGTATACCCAGAGCTTTCCGTAGAATGTGGATGGAGCTGGTTGAGCGAGGGTTGGGGGTGAGTGGTGGTTGTTGATGCCGATTGGCCGGGTGCCTGACCAGAGCCAGGCGGCTGCCCAGTAGAGGATGGGCATGGCTGCTGCGAGCCGTAGGATGATTTGTGTATGGGAAGTGAAGAGAAGGATCGAGGCTGTGAAGAGAGAGTGGATGACGTGTGGTGTGAGGGAGAGGGTGGAGAAGGGGCTTGCTTTCAGCGACTGTCGGTGTCTGCTTGATTGGGGTCGGGAGGTGCAGAAGCCGTGGGTGAGAAGGACTGCTCGGATATGCCAGAACCCGAATGAATAGAGAAGGATAAAGGGCGGTGCGGCGATTAGAAAGTTGGGAAACTGCTTGGGCGACCAGTAGTTGAGAAAGCCGGCGTTCCAGTAGGTTGACTGGACGTGGGTGTAGACTGTTGGGATTGTCTTTGAGCACCACTGGGGTGTCTGATAAGACAGAGGGAGCTGGTCCTTGGACGGAATGCAGAAAGTGGCGTATGCAAAGTAGTTGTGGTAGATAAAGGGGGCGAATACGAGGATGGTGAGAAGGGCTGCGTAGAGGACATCGAGCACAAGGCGACTTGTGATGCGGGGCAGCTTGCGCGAGCTGAGGAGGTGAGGGAGATGCGGCTGGATAAGGATGCCCCAGATAATGAATCCGGCGAGGAAGAGTCCGTTTGAACGGAACATTGTTGCGGCACAGAAAGCGAGTGCAGCAAGGAGCCAGTGCTCCTGTGCGCAAAAGAGCATGCCTGTGGATGGGAATGAGCACGAAATAGACACGAAATGGACAGCAACCGACCTCTATACGATAAATAGGTGAAGAACGGCTCATTGTACGGGGCTGCAAAGAGAGTGACTGGACTGCTGGGAATGAGGGCAAGGACGGTGGAGATGTATGCAAGCGATTCTGAGCGGAGGTGGGCCAGCGACAGCTCATAGAAGACGCGGTACGAGTCGAGCGTCAGGAGCGATATAAGAAAGGCAACGCCCTTGAGACAGTGCTGGTGGCCGACGAGTGCTGTCGAGAGTCTGATGACAAGTGCGATTCCGGGCAGAAAGGCCCACTGCTGCTCGTACTGGTAGCCGTGCTCGGCGATGGACAGAAAGTGAAAGGCATCCCAGCGCACGACAGCCGTCGAATTGGAGAGCAGCGAGGACGACTTGTCGAACAGCGGCAAAAGGGTCGCAAGCGCGTCGAGGACGAGGTTAAGGATCATGCCAAAATGTAAATCACACACTGCTCGCTCTTAACCACAATGATCCAGCAACAATTCGTCCTCAACGATTTCCTCAATTCCGCTCCTTCGCCTCTTACTTTTGCCCTCGTCAGTCTCTCAGACAGCATCGCATCGCTG